AAGAACACACTGCAGCCTTTTCCACGCTGGATTATTAACTTTGAATTCCTCCAGCGCCGTCAGTAATGTAGTGTACCGCTCGTTTTGAAGCAAACGTGCTGGACGAACTGCCCCTTACCAAACGTGTCATGAGCCATAAACGAAAAGACCTTGTACTTAGACCGATTCGTTCCGTGGGTGGCGTCAATCAAAAGAACTTCAGGAAACTGCTCGAACAGAGTCCTCATATGATTCGTCTGCAGGGTGATGCAAGTCGCCACTTTCTGTATGTTCAAAACACGATAAACATAGAGTTAAGTTTTCATCTTTTCAATTCAACCCAAATTATTCACACCAGCTACCTTCTGATTTATATCGTCGAGGAAAATCCGACCAACATTACCAGGGCGGTCACCAAATTGCTTCATCCACTTCTTCAACCGCTTTTCACTAGTGCTCGGGCCATCTCGCAATTCCCGAGCCTTCAACTTACGAATAAGATTGTGGACATCCTGCGAAGTCGGGTTGCTGTCCGAGTTTTCCGTAATGTACTTCATGATACTCGACTTCTTAGCACCAGCCTGTCGAAGTACATCCACTGTCTGTAAAGCATCCTCATTCAGTACAAGACGATTTGTTGGATGTGCTCTAAACGAATGGTTCGAAAGCCGATGATTGTGTTCCAGTCGGCATCTCGTTATCCTCACAGCGAAGATCATCTTCTCAGAATCCACCACCTGAACACAGGCATTTATCTACACATAATCAATCACATAGAGAGTGGTAAGACCTCATTTGGATTTCCATCACGACCAGACAAGTCTCAATCCCGATCGAACGAACCCGACCAAGCCCGACCAAGCCCGACCGAGCCCGACCGAGCCCGATCATTCACTTTACCTGGGCATTGCATCCTTTCATCCTAGACTCCTGCCGGGGTCTCTTGCTCGTGGCCTGGGACTTAAATTTCCCGGAATAGGTGCAAACAAAGGTCTTTGCGTATTGCACCCACTCGTCAGGAAGTTTTTCCGCCTTTGACTTTGTGCGGTCGATCCGTGCGTTGCGCTCTGCCACAGTCGTATTTGTCCTCACCCTGAAAATCTACAGATAAATATATAGTGCATGTCAGCCAAAACGTATATACACAGCTATAGAAAACACGTGCCTGGAACGTCTGTGCTTGGTATACGGCCAGATAATCTTCAAACACCTCCCAGGAGGGAAACTCAACCTTCTTAGGCGCCAAGGCGAGTACGCGGACGGAGCTACCACCTTCGCTTGTGCTGCTGGTGGATTCCGGCGGATCGGAGCAGCTCACTGACTCCAACGGAATATGTGTCGTATTAAGCTCACTCACGACGGGGGAAGGCGCCCAGACGTCAGCAGGAGGCGCATCCGAACTATTACCCTCGCTCTCATCGGACTCCCACTCAGCTGAATGAGTAAGAAGGCCGCTTTGCGCTGCGCGCGGGCGGAGATCCATGCTTGTCGCTCACGCTCTCCCCCG